ATTGTCCGAAAAACCTCATTCTTAAATATTTTTTATTAAATACAATAAGTAATATTTATTTATTGATTTAAATAATTTTATTAAAATTTATTAGGACAATTCCAAGATAACTCGTGCGCTATAAACCCCCCCTAATACTTCTTCCAGGAGTTTGATGAGTGCGACCATAATCTCCATACCATTATAACCACGGCTTTCGTGACCCTCGCTTTAAACCAACACCCGTCGCCAACACCTTATCTTCTTAATTTACGCCTTAATTTAATTCTTCTTAATTTTAATTTCTTTCTAACTTAGATGAAGCTAGCTCGCTAGGTATTAAGCCTATTTGTTCCCATCTCTCTCCCTTGATTACTGAAATGAAGTTTCCTCAATGCTGTGGAAATCTTCTCCATTCATTTCTAAGAGGTGGTTTTTATATATACATGTTGTCATCTGTTCAGATAACCATGCTAACGGTAACAAATTGAAAACTTTTATATAGTAATAGAATGGGTCAATAGGTCTAAATGAATTCGTAGGATCACAAGCATGAGTTAGGTGAGAACTCAACCATATAAAAATATATTAAAAAAATAGAAAAAATATTAAAGTATGCATGGTTCTATTATCACTAGATAGTGTTGGAGTCCATTAATCCGATTATATCAAAAAAATGCATGTTTGAAAGATGACATATCAGATCACATTTTTTTTTGTGAATGAGGTTGTGTAATTCGTCGCTCGTTTAAAAAGTTATACTGATTTAAAAATTAGTAAAAAATTTAAAGACGATAGCCGTTTTTAAAACTTTATTATTGTCAAAAAGGTAAAACCACTTCGATTGAACGTCGAACCCGAGAGTACTTTGCTCGATATCATTCCGGAGATTTTGTTGTGAAAGATGCATCTCGTTCTGGTCAGCCAATCGCTAAAAAATCCGTTAAAGTTTTGCAACTAGTGAAGCAAGACTGGCATACCAGCTGGCGGCAATCAAGAAAAAGTGACCTGAACTGTCTAACAGATAAACAATTTTGATCCACACCCAATTCTGGAATACACAATCCTTTAATGAGTCGAAACAAATTGACCAAACTTGATTAAAAATTATTAAAAATTATCCATCATATAGCATAGACCTTGCACTCTGACTACTATTTGTTTTGATCTCTGCAATATTCTATTAAAAGTAAAATATTGACCGACGGAAGAACCGCTGAAAATCACTTGGGCTAAACAGAAATTCTACACCGATGGAATTATGAAGTTACCCGAGGTTATAATAATGGCCAGTATATAAAAATTTTGAAATTTTTTCTAAATTAAATATTAAAAATTTAGAAAATAAAATAAAAATAAATAAAATTGGTGAATACCGAATCTATTTATCATCGTTTCAATCTTGTATTCCCATTATATCTAAATTGGGGTATACCGAATCAAACGATATTTTTTAAGACTCTTCCCTGTTTTTTCCCCTATCTGTTTTCACTACCCTATCTTTCTGTCTATCTGTCTTACTAAATTGCGGTTTATTTATTGTCTTAATTATTATTTATTTATTATTATGGTAAAGTTTATTATGGTGAAGCTATTTGGGCCAGAGGACTTGAGCACTTTTACGCTTCCTTAACTCGAGGTATTTTCAAAACCCCTCCTTACGCCTTAACTGCTAAATAATTATTGACAAATTCATATGTTGAATATATAATTTTTCAACCTTCCAAATTATCTAATCTTTCCGAATTTAGCTAATTGTATATCAAAGTTGCAGCAAATTTAGTCTTAACGCAGACCATCTTCTTAAGTACCCACAAATTAGATGTTTCTGGTTATATGTGCACATGCGGAAGATTCCATTACAAACGGATTTCTCTCTTTTAAAGAAATATTTTCACAACACAGACTTAAGTGCATTTAACATTATTTAACTAAATAAAATATACAAGATAGAAAAAAGTGCAGAAACAATAAAACAGAGAAGAACTTGATGACTTACAAACTGGTTTCCCGCATTGCATTATCCGAATCAGAATGCAAAAATGGTGCCCGTCCACTCCACTCGTACGTGAAAAGAATCAAGTTTTGCATTTTCAGTTAAATTATTGATTTCGTTTGGTAACTGCAACATGCAACGTTGTCAGTTGCTAGTTGCCAGTTACCAGTTGCCAGTTACCATAATGCACACACAACGATCAACGTACAACATACACGCTGTGGTGGCACGTATGAATGATATGATAACAATGCATTCTTGTCATGACGCGGCTGCACCTTAAAATAATCTCCACACTCGTAACAGAAGACAAAGGCGAAGAACTTATAATTCAGCCTCAGAGAGTCAAGAGTGCCGGCTACACTCCCAATAATTTAGGCAGCGTTTTTTTTTTTTGGTACTCGTATTATATTACAAGTAAAACTGTAAAATCTTTCAACTAAAAAAATGTAATTCCTATTGTCAATTTTTTTTAATTATATTAAAGATGAAACCTTTTTTTAATTAAGATTCTGATAATCTGAAAGTACCCTTAATTCTTAATCCAACTTTGCATATTTAAAGAAATAAATATATTGTTTAATTTCATCAAAACGAAGATATGTCAAACATATCAGTATTATAGACTCTGAATAGTCCTTTTGAGATCAAGTTATATCATGCCCCTCGATCTGCCAATCAAACCTGTGGACCAGAGCCATATTGTGGATTAAGTTGGTCTACAACTAGGTCTCTGATTGATAAATGGTTTTCAGACGAGAGAAGTCGCTACTGTCAGGCTACCTGGTAAGGTATCCTTCTTCAACAGAACAGAGTTGAGGTTGCTGGTGGGATATTTAACGGATCACCATGGACTACGTTATTACCTAAACAAAATGTGTCTGTTCGAAGAGATAGATTGTTGACTCTGCTTAGAAGCAGACGAGACTTCCAGTAACATTCTCTGTAAGTGCGCAACCCTGATCTGGGCCAGGAGGAGGTCATTGAGTCGAATACTACTCTCCCCTTCTGTTATTAGGAGGTCCTCAACATGGCAGACTGAGTGTACTCAATGCCTAATACATTCTTCACCCAAGACTGGCAGATGTAACAATAGGTTTTTAATAACAACATAGAAAAGGTTACTTTCAGGATTAACCGAAACTATCTTCAGAAGTCTCTACAACGTCACAAAACTCACATTAGTTTAATAATTCAATAAAAAAGCCATAAAAATAAAGAAATAATATTGATTAATATTAAAGTCTCTTAAAAGCCGCAGTCACTTAATGCGCATAAGCGTTAAATGAAGACGCGTTGAAGAAAACTCTAAAACGACAACGGTACAGATACCAAGCAAGAGATCTATCCTACACACAGATGCAGTACACTCTTCGAGACGTAGGTTGGTCCATAACAGGGTTCTCAACAGTCCCCTGCCTAATATTTTGCAGGAGGAAAGATGTCTCCAATGTGCAACAATAACTATCCTAGCTCATTTGAAATCCTTATATAGCCAAGTACTAAGCAGTTAATTGTCACGCATAAACACATCTATCCCAGTGCCCAAACTGCAGCTCTACCCCCCATAACGTCGTTAATCTGCTGTTCTGCTCCTCTACGCATATGAACTTCCAACCAATTGACCTTTCGACCCACCCATTTGAAGTACAGCCGGGTTCCTCCGCATGAATCCATGGTGTTTTCAAATCAAATCCCATCTATCCGTAATCAACTCTTTCTCCCTTATCCCTTTCCCTTTCATCTCAAGCATCACCCATCTACATCCTAACCTATGTATGCTTGTCTTGTTAACCTTACATATTAGCTGCTTTCAGATCCCTGCGGGAACCTAAACAACAACAACAAGAGCAAGGGATCTACCGAGAAACTATTGGTTATAATAGTTGAAAATGGTGAGAAATTTTTTAAGAAGCTTTAATCCAGAGAGAGTTAGAACGAAATGAAAGAAGAAGGAAATCAAATCACTTTATTCTAATAAATTCAATCACAACAGTGGGATTTATTTCAGTGATTCTGTGTTTAACGGACTTTTGTTGTCAAACCATTAACGTAAACATCGCTAATAGTTTCAAGTATTAAAGTAACATATGCACTGAAACCAGGCACGTACCCAGAAGAGGGGCTTTATTTGTATTTAAAGACTAGTCATAACATACTTATTCCACAAAAAATTGATATAACTCCATATGAAAAACTTTCTATAATGTCCAAATTGTGGGAAACATGTTATTATATAGTTTTATATATCAGTTTTATATCTGACACATAGTGCTATATGAATTTTTGAATCAATAAATAATGAATGATAATCAAAATAATAAAAAGGATATAGTTTTATATAAAATTTACATGCAAAATAGATGTTATTACTAGACTTAAGCAGTAATTACTGCCAAAAAAAACAATTATTTGAAATCAAATTACTTAAAATGTACTAAAGTCCTGATATCATATGATAATCATTGGTTACGGTAGGCACCGGGACTATATACCAAAGCAATTATGTGATTATAGATGATCAAGTGCCGCTCAACACTCTTCCAACAAAATTTCACTGTTCTCAAGAACAACGCAACAAACGAACTTTGCCAGGAACGTGGAAAATTTCCAGATTACAAAAATAACTAATACTTTATAGAACAAATTGTAAGACTTCTTGTAATTCACTATATATTAACTAGCCGTTCTGAACTGCAAAATCTTAAACACACTAATATATGAAAGCCAAAAACAAATTTGCAATTTAGCACGTCATACTAGAATGCAATAAGAACTGTAAAATAAAATGATTATAACAGTTAAATATATAATATTATTATAATAAAGTTTTATTTATAACAGTCGTTAAGAACTTTACATATTGTAGTATTACGTTTCCATTTACAACATAAATAAAATTTCTATATTATTGTCTGAGAATACAATATAGAAATTTTTCACATAATTTAAAAATAACATTTATTATTAATTCAGTTAAAAATTATGTATTAATATACATAACAATAAATCGTTTAAAGCTTGCGCTATATCAAGATTTTCGAACACGTTCGTTACATATTCAATATGTTGGAATAAATATTTTGAATATATAATAATTTATATGCACAACTGGCATGTATAAATACTTCCTTAAAAGTAAATAATGTATTTTATATGAATCAATCATGCGAAATTTTACAATAGCAATAGCTTTTCGAGATTTTTAATTTCTTTTCTACTTTCAATATAAATTTTTTTAAGTAGCTAATATAACAGAAAGAATTATTGGAATTGTATTTTACTCATCTCACATTCGGACTTGGAATTTGCCTGCCTTAGTTATATATTTAACTCCTTTAAAAGGCTTATATTTTTCACCATACATATCTAATCGATTTACTTTCAAACCAGACACAGCTAGCTGTGATATAGTAAATTGCACATTGATTGAAGGATTTGCATCGATGTTTGTACTGCCAGGCGTAATGGATACCTAATTCAACATAAAGTGTGAATATGAACAGAAAATATTCCATCTACATAAATTGTTAACTTACGGTTCCTCTTATGTTTGGTAGTTTAGTTACATCTATACGCCCCACATCCCAAGATAAGGTTTTTGTTACGGAGTCAAATGTATATTTGCCTTGATTCGGCGTTAAAACACAATTCAAAACACATTTTGGCATTGTTATTTCTAATTTGACTTTATCAACTGTGCGTCCGAGAGTAGTGCGAGGACCCACTGTCAAATCTAAACGTCCTTGTTCACCAGTCTTAATCGAGAAATTATGACGTATGTATATGGGAATAGCAACGACTGATTGTGCGCTTATGTGATATGACATCAAACGAAAATTACCATCAGGTGGTATGAAGGATAAGAGTCTCTCAGCTTCCCAACGTTTAAAGCGTACGCAAGGATGAAATGAGACATCATCAAATAAACGCGGATTCATGAAAGAGAGTGTTAAATCGGGCATGCCAGACAACTTAATGCAGCAATCAATCTAAAAATATTAAATAATGATTTAGTGTAATAAAAAGTTTTATAACATATGTCCCCTTACATAGCCCTGAATTTCAGCGAAAACTGTTGAACCAGATTTATCTATTATAGCATCAACTTCTTCAATGACATCGAAGTATGCTTCATTGTTATTATAACGTACACCGCTACGACGCCATGGTATGGCGGACAATTGACCCGATGGCAATGTTGTACTGACACTATTTTTTTTTAATTATGAAACATGAAGAGAAAAGTTATTATTGTAATTTAAAGAATATATCTATATGCAATTTACTTGCTCTTTCCAGTTACAGTATTGGCAATAGTACGCAAAATGTTTGGTGGCTTGATCAACTCTTTTAATATGTTACTTTCGGTTGCCAAAGGAAAACCATTGTCTAACATTTCATCTAAAAGTTCATAAACAACAACACAGTTTTCTTTAATAACATTTTCTGAACAATCTCCAAAGTAATCCTCGAATGTGTCAACTACACGATGTAAGAATTCTATAACAAAGAGTGGCGGCACCTCCTGCTTGCACGCAGCGACCAAAGACACACCACAACGCTGTACAGTAATCAAATAATAATGTGGTGTAGAAATAACTGGTGGCACATCCTAGTTCATATTAATTGTATTATTCATTTTATTTATTCAGTTTAATATATATGACAAGATTTATATTTACATATGGTGCATTACGCTGCTCGTCGAGGAAGTAATCACAAACTGATCGTGAGACAACTGAACGCCAGTGTTTCTCCAAGAAAACATCTCTAAAATAATAATTCTTATAATTATTATAACGCCAAAAAAGTATTTTGCTTACCCGCTGTTATTAATAATAAACAAACTGTGTATCATATTGAAATTTCACAGTTTTTTTTTATATAAATCAGAAGAAATTGTCGCTACACGTAAACAAATTTGCAAGAAGAATAACCAAGTATGGTGAAAATAAAACAGCTGTTAGTGATGCCACATTATAGTTAAGAATTGTAAGTTAATGTTAAAAAGAATTTATTATATATATTAATATAATTATTTTTAATTAAACTATTTTAATTAAAGAATTAGTCATATATAAAAGAAGTCATATGTAAAATAAACGTATAATTTTAAATGTAATGAATTTACCACTCAACTATACTGCTAAGTACTGCAATATTCAATTCAATTTAATTCAACATTTATTTACTTCTGCTTATATGCTTAAAGTCGAAACCGAAGGAGATATATATATAAGCTAAATTAGACTAAAGTCGTGTGCGAGTTAGGCTAAGTTGATGCTAAACCAAATGGGAGATTTTTTGGGATTTTTTGCACTGCACACTTTTGCCATTAACAACAGTATCGACACAATAAATTAAACATCGACACAACTTAGAATTTCCCTCATTTAGAACGCAACTTAGCCTAACTCGCACACGACCTAAGTTGTAATTAGACTAAATTGATGATTTTGTTAAAATATAAATATGTCTTAATAATAATATATAAGCACTGCAATATACATATATATTTAACTTTGAATATAAAGCATATCATATAATTTAAATAAAAATATTATGAACTAATTTATTTCTAAAACAGTGATTATTTTTATTATATATAAGCCGTGCGCGAGTAAATTGATGAATTAATAATACCGATATATTATGTGGGTATGGCAGCGAATCTTGGTATTTACCAAAAATTCGAGTGGGGTAAATCAGATAAAAATTAGATAAATTAGGTATTACCATCATGAAAAATAAAATGTTTAATAAATAAATAAATATATATGAAAACGTGTAACCAAATATAATAAATAAGTGCAATAAATAAATATGTGTATAAGTACAGTGCAAAAAATCCCTAGGATATTTCAATTTACTTTACCTCAAATTATTCGAACTCTCACACGGCCATAATAGAATTAACAAAATTTATTTTACATATTATTAAGGCCGTCTGCAAGTTCGTGTAAATTAATGGTAAATTGAGGGAAATAGTAAATTATGTCGATATGGCAGCAAATGTTGGTATTTACCAGAATTTCGAGTAGGGTAAATTAGATAAAATTAGGTGTTAGAAAAATTAGGTATTACCATCATGAACATTTTATAAGATGTTTAATAAATAAATTTGAAAACTTTAAACCAAAAATAATAAATAAGTGCAATAAATTAATATTTGCATAAGTACAGTGCAAAAAGCACCTAGGAAATTTCAATTTAATTTACCTCAATTTAATTATCAATTTTATATAACCTATTTATATACAAAATGTAATTTGCTTGCATTATGTTCTTATATGCAAGATCTGTTATTTGCCAAAACATAACATTTGACAGATTGCAACAATGATGCTAATGTCTCGCTATGCGAATATACGCCAAAATGCGTTTTTTACCACACTTACGAGCCACCGAAAACGCTTATGATTAACAGCCAAATTTAGTCCGGTACTTGTGTTTTTAAACCAGAAAACATCTTCAATGTCTATTTGAAATATTTTTAAGTTTAAAATTTAAACCATGTACATATGTATATTCATATAAAAACATATGATAAATAACGAATTTTTTGAACATCTTTATTATTTAAGTTATTTAATACTAATTTTAATTAATTGTTTATATGTTTTAAGATATCTTTGTTTATACATTGTGACCGAAAAGCTTTCGGAAATTCTCATTTAAAATTCGCGCGCTGTATATTTTTCGATATTTAAGTTATGTAGTTTGGCAACCACTGTCCTTAATTACTATGCCAAAATGGGCGATCTGTCGGACAGTTCGTTTACGGCAGCTGTTGAAACCAGTTCACCTCAGTAGTGCGTTGCGAAAAAAACAATGGAAAAAAATATTGAACAAAGAGTTTGCATCAAATTTTGTTTTTCGAACGAAATTTCGTGTGCAGAATCGTTGCGAATGCTACAAAAGGCTTATGGGGAATCAGTTTTATCGAAAACTCAAGTTTATGAGTGGTACAAAGCCTTTCAGGACTGTCGTACGACCGTCGAAGACATGCCGCGTTCTGGACGACCTTCGACCTCTACCACCGACGAAAACATTGAAAAGGCAAAGGAAATCGTGTTCAAAAATCCTCATGTGAGTGTTAGAGAGATAGCACGAGAGCTAGGCATCGGTCGTGAGATGGCTCGTTTGATTTTGGTGGACAATTTGTGTATGCGACGTGTCAACGCCCGGCTTGTTCCGATTCACCTCAATTTGTTCAACATTATCAACGATTTTAAGGCCAAACATTCAATAAATACCATCGAACAGCCACCGTATTCACCTGATCTTGCACCGTGTGACTTTTTCCTGTTTCCCAACCTCAAATTACCACTCAGAGGAACGCGTTTTGAATCCATAGAAGACGTAAAACAGAATTCGCAGAGGGAACTCAAAGCCATACCGGAAAGCGCCTATAAAAATGTTTTGAGATTGAAGAAACGTTGGCATTTGTGTATCGTTCTAATGGAGCAATATTTTGAAGAGAGAAAATAAATATTGATGAAGATTAAGAATTTTGCGTTTTATTTAAAATTTTCCGGAAACTTTTCGGTCACAATGTATATATACATATTTATAATTTATATTTTGAGATACATATATGTATTCATATTTACACTAATATATTGCATATATGTTTTAAAATATCTTTGTTTATATTTATATTTATTTATTATCTATATTTTGATATATATGTTTTAATATTTACACTAATATATTGCATATATGTTTCAAGATATCTATGTTCATATTTATACTAACGAAATGTAATGCTGATCTAATTGTAAACAAAAATAAAAATAATTTATTGCATAAATACGGATTGCCAAAAAATACTTATTGGCAATATTTGCAACAAATTGATCTTATTTGAAGCGAATGGCATATATAGAATTTTTCGCTGCAAATTACTACGCAACAGTTTGTTGTTATCGATAGTTTACCATCCTTAACTAAATCGACGCTAATCATTCAATGCTGTCATAGCTTTCTTTCATACTGAACCGCGAAGATCATCACTTCATACAATTTCAAACATTTAGTTAAGGTGAGTTAAAATCATAGATATTAATTTTTATGTGCAGAGATTTATTAAAAATATTATAATCTATCATTTGCGGTTAAGTGTTTAAGAAAAATTTCAAATTAAATTAGTTTAAGTGATATTTGTGTAAGATCTTTTGTAAAATGTAGGATATTTTCTAGTTTTACAATGATTGTGAAATGAACAGAATTTTTAAAAATTAATTGCGCTGTTTCAAAAATTATTTTTTAAATGGAATTAAATATTGTTTAAAATTTTGCTAATTGTGCAATGGTGTGCATTATAACACGTTTTCTTTTTTTTTTTTTTGTTGTTTTTGCTGAGCGTCGTCTCGGGTAACAGTAAACCATGCCGTCTATCCTTTTTTCCACGTAAGGAACAGTGGCACAAAAAAGAATAAAAAGAGCAACAGTTTTTGAAGCAACTGGTAGTAGAAGTGAATGATTAGAAAATGTATAAATTCATGTTTTGCATTCAATTTTAAATATATAAAATTATATATTTATTTTAATGGTAATTTGTTTAATGCTTTTTGTTGTTATTTTGTGGTCTTATATGCAACGATCTTCATTCCATGCAGTTGCACATGATAAAGAAAACATTGGCATGTACATGTGTATATGTATGTGTAAACATA